CCAGCCCTCGCCCCCTCGCCGCTCCTCGGCAGCCCGCCCCCGCCGGCCGAGGCTGGGCTGAGGAGGCTGCCGGGCGGCCCCGAGCCTCGCCGGGGCGACCAAAACAAAGGCGGCATCCGAGCTCGGCTGGAGGCAAACAACCATGAGAGACTGGGTCCTCGCTCTCCCCGGCTCCGCTGCTGCCGCCGCCACTGCTCCTCCTCCAGCCGCCGCCGCCGCCACCGGGAGAGCTCCGCTGTGAGGTTGGAAAGCAGGGGCGCAGCTGCTGGGCGTGCATCGGAAAGGTGAGAGCCGGAGCCAGCAAGCGGAGGGGGCGGGCAGGCCACGACAATGTCCTCGGCCGTGGGGCCCCGCGGTCCTCGCCCACCCACGGTGCCTCCCCCGATGCCAGAGCTGCCCGACCTGAGCCACCTGACCGAGGAGGAGAGGAACATTATCATGGCAGTGATGGACCGGCAGAAGGAAGAGGAGGAAAAAGAAGAAGCCATGCTCAAGTAAGCCTCCCCCACCTCCCCAGGCGCGCCATGCATCCCTCGGTGGTGCCTCCATCCGTCCATTCACCACTCACTCACCCGGTCCTTTGGGCTGGGGTGGGGGAGGGGCGGGCGAGGGTGTAGGGTGCGGGAGGAGGTGCCCGCCTTGGGACCAGGGGCCCTGGGATTGAGCAGGGAAGAGGTTAGGGGTCTGAAGAAGGAGAGGAGCTCTCAGAGCCAGGAACCCAGAGGGATGGCTTCAGACTGGGGTGCCCTGGAGGACTGGGTAGACAGGGGGCCACCCTGGTGGTGGCAGAGCTGAGAGAAGCTGATCCCACCCAATGGAAGGGCCCTGGGCTTAGGGCAGGTTAGGGGCCAGAGGATGAGTCGCAAAAAGGGTGGTGGTGGATTGAGAGGTTCCGAGGTGCTGAGGCTAACCCAGCGCCTCTTATTTTTGGAGTTGTTTAGCAGGTCTCAGTTACCCCAGTGAAGGGTGCTGGTATTTATATAATAAAAATGCTTATTTTTAGTGTTCGTTTTTGTAATCATTCATTTACAATGCAAGGTTGGGTGTTTCTTTTTTCTTTTTTTTTTTTTTTTTTTTGGGCAGTTGCCATCTTTGGTAACCTGCCTCCTCAACTTCCCTTTAACCTTTTATTCATAGTCTTCTACACAGAATAAGTGTATGAAGACACATTTTCTTACGCACAGATAATGCCCCTGGCCATACAAAGTTTTTGATAATGGGAGAAGCTGATGGGGACTGTGGCTTCAACAAAATACCAGTTCCTTTTTATTGATTTCCAAGAGACCTCTGGGGCCTTCTCAGTTCCTGAAAGAAGTGGTCAGGCAATCAACTTGGGTCCACCTCCTGTCTTTGGAGCCTATTGATGGTTCAGGGGGATCTCTGCCAGATGCCTCATTTTCCTGGGGATGAGGAGAGGTTAGAGCTTGAGTTAGTGATGCAGGAGTGTCTGACTGGGCTACTGCTTGCCTTAGAACTGCTTGCAAGCTACCGGCATCCAGGCTGGGTTTGGCTTGCTCCTCATTTTATCCCTGGTGTGGAGTTCAGGGGAATTTCAGCTCTATCTTCCCTGGGAAGTCTTCATATATTCAGGAAAGTTTTCATCTCTAGGCTGGGGCAGTGTAGACACCCTGACTGGTACTGATGGCTAGTTCTCTTCTGCTTAGCCAGAAGGTGTATTTCAGGGAAGCAATTGGCATGAAGAGCCAAAGGGAACCTGTTGCATCTGGAGTGGGCTGGTTGCAAGGAAGTGTAGAGCGGGAACAGGGGGTGACATGAGGGCACAAAGCACACCCAGCATGGCCTTTCTCCCTTTCTCTAGAATTGCCTTCTGAGGGGGAGATGCTGCCTGGGAAGGTTTCTGCTTCAGTGCAGCAGTGCCTCACATGAGAGGAATAGAAGGAACTGTATTCACAGACTGTGGGTCCTGAAGCACAGCAACTGCCACCTAGAGTGGGGAGGGCTATATTAAGAGAGGGATGTGGGTGTCAGTCCACAGCAAAATAGTAGAAATCCAGTCATTCTTGCCCTTTCATTACAGACTCAGAAAGAAAAAAAAAAAAAAAACCAAAAACCAAAAACTGTTAACTCAGAAGGCCAGAGCTGGCCTGGCTCTATGAGAACAGCAGGTTTCTGAATTCCCTGCTCCTTCGCATCCAAAAAAACAAATACTTTAAGCCTGCCAGCTTGAGGGAGGCAGAACCCTTCTTAATCTGCTTCCTGTCCCTAGTGGAAGAATGACATCCCTGGTGCTGCAGGCTTCCCCTCTTCTGAGACTGGAAGTAATGGATGGTGTCTGATGGTGCTGCTGTCTGTCTGTCCAGTTGTCAGTCCATCTGTCCTCACTGATGCAGCCCCTGCCACCTGTCCTGGACACTATTCTGTTGGTCAGCTTTTGCAGATTCGCTGTTGTTTCTTTTGGTGTTTGCTACAGACAGCAGGTAGACGGAGGCCTCCAGCAGCTAGTGATAAATATGGGCTGCTGACAGAGTCCAGGGAGGAAAGGGAGACACAATGGTGCAAGTAATGGTCAGCAGGGCTCTTCATTGACTGTTGGAAGCATGGTGAATAGTGAGTGATAGCTCTTAAGTGGGAGTCAGTGAGTTTTAGCTCAGAATTCCAAACCTGCTATCCACCTAATGATAAGACTATATAGGCTTATGTGTGCAAACAGAAATAAGAAGCTCTAACTGCTCATGTCTAGCATATCCTTATCACTGATTTCCCTCTGACTGATTCCCATTGGTTTGCAAATATTATTCCCTTATTGCATGGATTCACAGACTATTGCAGTTTGTAATGTTGTTATACAACAGCCCTCAGTAATCCTGGACTTGTGCATTTTTATCAATCAGCCTCCTCTGTTAATGTCCTGGCCTTTTGTGCTGTGCTGTGTGTGTGTGTGGGGGGAGGGTGGTGGTGAGTGTGTTGGAATCCTGGTTTGCTGACATGTAGGGATGTCATATTGTCTGCAGTTAGTGAAACAGGGCTGCACTTTCTTTTTCTTAAGAGAAACTTTGTGTCTTAGAAACTAGGGATCCTAGGAGCTATTCAGATGAGGTGTATGCATGGGGGACTTGGTGACATCTAGGCATCAGTGGTAACCTTTCCTAAACTTGTCAATAAAAATGACTGGGAAGCAGAGTGTTTTACACAGGCCTTTGGAAGAAACATTTGCTAAATAAGAAAAGAGTTTCTGTGTAGTACTTGGGCCATCATATCATGTAGAGGAATTACATTCACGAAGAACTGACAGAGCTAAATTTCTGATATCAGGGCAATTAGACTTCCATTTCACTTTTGTGATCATTGCCAACTAGCGTCATAGGTAGTTGACTTTGGTTGTAATTTACAATTTGGATTTGGATTTGATAATATTAAATAGGAATAAACAGAAACAAAATCAAAGTACTTTCACCTCAAGATTTCAGAATTATGTTACATGAAGTTAGAAGTACTTTATCGTGATAATACTTTATGTAAAATCTGCTCATTTTAGTAATATTGCTTTATAATTATAAAGTAGTTGACTCTTGAAAAATTTCAGGATTGATGCAACTGTTTATAAAGAGGGGTCTTTTCTTAATTTTGGTTGAAGTGTGTTGTGTGTGTGTGTGTGTGTGTGTGTGTGTCTGTGTGTGTGTGTGTGTGTGTCTGTGTTTGTGTGTGTGTGTGTGTGTGTGTCTGTGTGTGTGTGTGTCTGTCTGTGTACGTACATGACTGTTTTAGAAACTTTTTGAAACATAACTTCCTCTATGAATGCTGCTTCAAATAACTGACACCAGACATCGTGGGCCAATATATTATATAGACTGAAATCTGCATTATTTGGGACCTAAATAAGAGAAGATCTCATTAGATATAAAATCTTATTCCTTCTTTAAATAAAAGTTTCAGAGAGAAATGAGTTCCAGAATAGCAAGTAAAAAGAAAAAAAAAAAAAAACCAAACAGAAATAGAGATTTAAAGAGATGATTTGAGGGTGCAAATTGAAAGCCAGTTGAAATAGTTAATGAAAATAGCCAACCTTTATTCAGGATTTATTTCATTGCTCTAATCAACTACTTAATGTGGTGTCAAATAAGTGACACCATAATACCTGTGCCTGGCTGTTCCCATAGCCTGCTAATCTCACAATTCTCAAATCCTCACCCTACAGTGAGGGCACCAGGACTCTCCTAAATTGACTCACAAACATGGCCCAACCAGGATTCAAATCCAAACCTCTCACACTACATGTCATCATTTCCCTCAGCACTAACCTGTCAAACAGGACGAGGCCTCTACTTCATTTATCTTTTCTTTACATGAGTTTCTTGTCTTCTAATTCAGAGACATGGTTGGACAGAAGATGAAGCTGATTTAGAATATCAACTACTGTTCTTAGTGGAGGAGGGTTGAGACTTCACTGACACTGGTTAACAGAACATTCCTATGGATTGAGGGAAAAGGAATTGTCTCCAGTTCAAAGATAACAAATGCATCATTGTGTAGTACAAAGGCCATTAGTTTTGGAACCACACAGCGTTAGATTCTAGTTCTGGTTCTTCCACTTATTGTGGGCAAGACAATTAAGTTGGAATTTCATGGGTTTCTCTATCTTGTACAAATCCTGCAGCCTGGGGTGTTATTGAATGTACAAAGAATAGTAACTTTAGGCTTCCCTCTCTTCTACCAGGGAATGTAGCCTTCACTTTTCAAGCATTTATAAACAGAGTCTGCTTCGTGGAGTAGAGACTAAGAATAACTTCTCTTACTTCAGTTATCTTTCTTTTCCTCTGTCTAGACAAGTGCCATGTTGTAGTTTGACATGTATTAGAAAGGCTCATTTTGAGAAACATCAGTTACCAACTGGGAAAAGAATGGAAAACAGATTGGGGAAATTAGAGGGGGATGGCCATAAAGCCACTGTGAATGCAGGTACCATATTTTCATTGGCAAAAAATTTCATACTGTATATCTGGGCATTTTCTGTCTTATTAGATAGAATGAATGAAAAGAAAAGGAAAAAGGCATGTTCTAAGGAAAGAGAGAGAGGATAAAGACACAAGTAGGTGTCTATGGTTTCAAGATGCTGTGTTAAACAACAACAAAACAAACAAAAAAAAAACAGGGAGAAAAAGCACACCATTTTACTGGCATCAGTGCCACGTCACACCATTAGTAAATGGAGTTAACCTAGGAATGTCTAACCTTGAGCTATATTGTAGTTTTTTCACTTTCAACACAAACCTGCCCTAACACATGTCCATGCCCAGTACTAAGTCCCCAAATGCTCATGGAAAATAAATTTAAAAAAGGGAAGTTAAGAAAAGAAAAGGTATGAGACAGTGTCAAAAATAATGGAGAGTAAGATACAAAACCATTGCTTTACATTTTCCAATTATTGATATATGGTGATTTTCTATTAATCTTGCACATATTCTTTTTTAATCAGAATTATTGAAGTACCAACATTTACATATTCACATTATTAAATTAGAAGCATGCTGTAGAG